AAGGCAATTAAGATTTAAACTTGATAGAGTGCTTTGACATCATCATCTTCATGTTTCATCTGCATCATGCAAAAAGGGGGTAGGAATAGGTGTCTAGATAAATCCAGGCCAGGAGATGTATTAAGAATCCTTATTGATAAATTGGTGTCCCATTGCAAATTTTTTCAATAGCCAACCAAAATCAGAAGAGTCGCAAACCCCTAATTAAAGCCAAAATCCTGAGAGAAAAGGACCAAACAACTTAGAGAAAAAGAAGGAATGAGTATTAACAATTTGGCTATATAGAAAAGTAGATTGGAGTGTTTTTCACTTGGTATGTCTTAATCCCCACCACTTGAGAATGTGAATAGATTAACGTCGACCATAATTCCCCAAGTCTCTCCACGATTTCTGTGAAGCTGTAACCATTAAATCGTTCCCTTGATTGATGTAGTTGAATCACTGTGATTGTGCCTTGTACAAAGCAGACATCATTGTAGTAGTATAAATAGGTGATGTATCCCAAAACCAATGTAGGGCTCCAATTCATTTGTTTTATTTTCCCAGATGGTATTAGAATCTAGAGGTCACGAGTAAAAATCACACAATCAGCTTAAGCTTTTACAGTAGTGAGTGGTTTAACATGATAAAAGAGTGACATGGTGGTGGTTCTATCGAACATCACACACGCTTGGTGCTATGTGTGTGCGTTGAGTGTTACGGTCATTTGATCGAACACCTTCTGTGCATTTGGTCGAACACCTTCCATACAATATGAGTGTTGTGCGAAGAGAGAAACAGATGTAGAGATAAATAGAGAGTCTTGTGGTTACCGACGTAGGAAAGAGATGGAGAGAAGAGAAACGGGGAAGGGAAGAAGAGAGTATCAAGAAGAGGGGAGACGTGAATTAGGGCATCTATGGGGGTGGTTTGTGCGCAGAAATGATGACAGAAATAAGGGGTGGGGAAGGGAGAAAGAAAACTACCTCAGAGGGACGCCGGTGTCGTGGTGGTGGCGCTGGCCTTCTCTTGGAAAACTGGAAATAACCAAAAGAAAATTAGTTGGAAATCATGGGCTTGATTTCACCCATCAGCTAAGGGTTAGGAAACATCGCCGTCATTATTGTTGGCGATGGTTTGCTTCAACTGAGATGGGCGTGGAAGAACAGAGATGAGGGTGAGAGAGACGGAAGCAGAGGAGCAAAGAGAGGGGCAGAGATACGAGGGAGACGGGTGTAGAGAGAGGGCGGGTAGACGGGAGAGATATGAAGTTTAAATTTTTTATTTACGTAAAAGTTTAATTTCATTATTATTTTTTTATTTACGTCAAAATTAATTTGCGACATTTTTAAAAAATATTGTGTAATTATTTGTAAATTTTTTTTAATTTACATAAAAAATTATTGGTGACGATTTCTAACAATGTCGCAAAAAATTAATTTAATTATTATTTTTAAAATTTTTTATTTACATAAAACTTTATTGGTGACATTTTTAAAAATGTTGCGAAAAATTATTTAATTATTATTTTTAAAATTTTTTATTTACGTAAAAAATTATTGGCGACATTTCTAAAAATGTCGCGAAAAATTAATTTAATTATTATTTTTAATTTTTTTATTTACACAAAAATTTATAGGAGATTTTTTTTAAAAACATCGTGAAAAATAATTTAATCATTATTTAAAAAAAATTTATTTACGTAAAATATTATTGGCGATGTTTTCTAAAAACGTCACGAATAATTAATTTAATTATTATTTTTAAAATTTTTTATTTGCATAAAAATTTATTTGCTACGTTTTTAAAAAAACGTTGTAAAAAATTAACTAAATTATTATTTTTTATTTAATTTGTCAATTTCCGTCATTTCTCCCGTAAAAAACAATTAGGAGGGAATCGCCTTTTTGCGACGTTTTTAAAAAAACGTTGCAAAAAACTATCAAAATAGAAATTTAGACTTTATTTTACTTTAAATTTTAGATTATTTATTTTTTGTGACGACATAAAACTATCTGCAACAAAAAATTTTTGTCGTAAAAAATTGTCACTTCCCGTCATTTCTCCCGTCAAAAACAATTAGGATAGAATTGCCTTTTCACAACATTTTTATAAAAACGTCGCAAAAAAATTGCCAAAATAGAAATTTGTGACAAAATTATAAAATCGTCACAAATAGTAAACTTTTTGTGACAAGTTTAAAATCGTCGCAAAAAATATTTTTTGATTTAGTGAATTTGTTTTCCAAATACAATAAATTATATGTATTACTTCACTTTCAAGTAGTCTTTCTAGATGTCATCACCATCAATAATAATCTTATTCTCGGTAGAATTAAAACCAAATCCAGAAGTGGCCATCATGGTGAATAACGAGTTATAGTTTTTTTTTTTCCAAATCTTTATCTTAGACTCAATGTGTGGGGAAGCCTAAAATTTACACTTAGGAATTGCAATTTGCAAACTCTGTTTCGATGCTTGAAGGTACCCTGGTTTGAAAGTTCTGTTTTGACACTTCCAACCATTAACACAAAAGTCCCTTAGGGATGCGATGAGCTGAGTTTCTTCTATGTTTATCCATGTCCTTCTTATACCCTTCTCTGACCCTTCTCTGTCTGGGTCCTTTCACTTGGGCTCAGACATACTATGCATCACAAACATAATGGTAAGCACAATAATTTGAGCAATGTTGTGTACTTGCAAACAAAATATCATCGTATAAACTATTAAACACATGGAAAGTAATCTAAGTTTAAATCATGGAAAACTTGTCATACTACAATCAAACCAATATCCCACAGTACATGCAGAATCACAAAATCAAACACATTTAAATAGTAGGTTGTCCACGAGACATTTTACACTCGTTGTACATTTCAAACGCTAATTAATTTTGAAATAATTATCATTCAGCCGATGTCTCCACAGTGTTTATGACATCATTGTCAGCATCACTCTCATCATGAATGACCTCGTGCAACTCTTCCTATATTGAGTTCNATTGTCCACGAGACATTTTACACTCGTTATACATTTCAAACGCTAATTAATTTTGAAATAATTATCATTCAGCCGATGTCTCCACAGTGTTTATGACATCGTTGTCAGCATCACTCTCATCATGAATGACCTCGTGCAACTCTTCCTATATTGAGTTCATACTCATTTCATTTATGATTAAGTTATGCAACAAACAACATGCAGCTAGAATATGATTATGCGTGCGAACCGGATAGTAGCACTGTGCCCTAAGGATCACCCATCTATTTTTCAACAAGGCAAAACATCTCTCAATGCATGTCCTTGAGGCTGAATGTCGAAGGTTGAACAATTCTTCAGGATTACGGGGAGCTGCTGCACCCACCCCAAACTCTTGNCTGATTAAGTTATGCAACAAACAACATGCAGCTAGAATATGATTATGCGTGCGAACCGGATAGTAGCACTGTGCCCTAAGGATCGCCCATCTATTTTTCAACAAGGCAAAACATCTCTCAATGCATGTCCTTGAGGCTGAATGTCAAAGGTTGAACAATTCTTCAGGATTACGGGGAGCTGCTGCACCCACCCCAAACTCTTGTATGTGATATCTTTGACCTCTGAATGATGATATTTAATGATTGGTTAATTGCATATTATTTGTTATTAAATGTGTTAAATTCCTTGATTTTTTAGTTTAATATTTTTTCTAGTTATTTGGTTTATTTGACAGGTAAATTGGTTGATTTAAAGTAATAATAGATAAGGCAGTGAAACAATCACTAGATGAAGAATAACAATTGATAAAGATTGAAAAGTCAAGATTGAAATAGGAAGATTTGAAGATATCTTATAAGAGTCCAAGTTAGAAGAAAACTCATTTAGAGTTGGATTAGAAAAGTATCCTAGAAGATAAGGATTTGACACGTCTGTAGTATTTTGGTCATAACTTTTGATTTTGATATTCAATTTATTTGATATTTGGGGGTTGTAAATAAGACTTCAAGGGCTACAAAAGTGTATTTCATGAAATGTTAGTGATTCAACATCTAAATATGCGAAATTCAAGCTCAAAGTATGGACATATTTTGTACCATCGCCCTAAAGATTTTATGCACTGAATTTAAACTTACAAGACTTCTTTTTGGAAAAGAATTCCTTCAAAACCAACCTTATATCTTCTATCTATACTTAGGATTTATTTTTAGTATAAATAAGGGTTCTCATTTAGAGATAGTTATTATTCTTTTTTCATCTTTTTTATTTTGATTTTAGTTCGCCATGTCTGGCTAAAAGGTTTAGCTAGGGCTATGGGAGGACCTTTTAATGAAGTACGGTAATATTATCGAGTCTGAGCTTAATAATATGTGATATTTTATTGTGACGACCCGTATATAAATTAATCATCGACACGCTAATTAGGTCGTCAATTATGATTTTATATTAATAAATAAAAAGTAAATTTTTTTTTATGAACAAATGGACCTCAAGTATGGACTCTTCACGTAAAAACGAGTCAAATGACTATAACTTAGGGCAAAAATTGTAACAAATATATTCATATTTATATCTATATGTGTGTGTGTGTGTGTGTGTGTGTGTGTGCAGGTGAAAGGACAAACATATCTATATATATATATGTAGGGGCCATATTTAGGAAGTTTACAAGCTTTAAGACACATGCAACATAGAAAAAAAAAAAAAAAAAGGAAAACATGGTGAGGAAATGGACGCCTGTCCATGACTTCCTTGGAGGCCAAGAAAATCTTGGCTATAAATAGCCAAGATCAGTAGAATTGAACGACATAAGGAAAAAAGAGAGAAAGGGAGAAAGAAAGGAAAGGAGAAAGATAGGAAAGAGAAAAAGGGGTCAAAAATTTTGTTAACCTAAGAATTTGCGGTTGCAATCAAAACTTTGGGTAAGAGTTTTTAGTTATTATTTAGTAACTTTTATATGTTCGAGTCACTTAAAGTTGATTTGCATTAAATATTTTCGGATCAAATTTAAGTATTATTATCTTTCATTAGTTATTCCAAAAATTATTAAGCCCTTAGTACCTATTGTTATTTTAAAATATTATTTTGATTATTTTGTCACAGTACACGGT